TTATTATACTACTCTTTTTACAATTGTTATAAGACTTTTAAATTGAATAAATATTAGTAAAAAAAAAAATGGCAAACGGTGACGTTATATTGTTTTCTGGAGAGATGCGCAATAGACTGAAAACGGAAACGTTTGAATGTAAATCAGTTTATATACATTCATATTACATTATTATATCCGTTGCGACCCATTTGTGTCAATTTCTAGATCCCAAATATATTCTTCAAAAAAAAGTAGGGGATATTGAAATGCAAATATTTATGTAGGTTGCGATATGATAGTCATGGACATTTGACATGCTTTGAGAGTATGTTCACAGATGAAGAACTTATCGCCCCAACAGAACCAATGAGCTGCACATGCGACACTCAATAGCGCCATACACGTGGGGGAGGTTCATTGTCAAATTTGACACTTCAAGGAAGGGTTGATGAAAACTGCCGCGTGCTGGTTAATATATCAATGTTCGTTTTCCTATCGGTTCTTACATAAGATTTGCTGTTTATCGTATCACGTTTAACTTGATCGGGAGACGTCAACCGACAACACTGCAAAAATTGGCCGTGGCACTGCAAGAGGAGTGGGTCAGATTGCCCCAAATCGTGATTGGACGGTTGATTCGGAGCATGCCACGACGAATTGCTGAATGTCTGAGGATTGGTGGAGCAATTACTCATTATTAAGACAATAATGGTTACCTCTAATAAAAACAGCAGTGCATTTCCGTAGTTTTGTATTGTTTCTGAATATCTCCTACTTTTTTGAAGAGTATATATGCGCTTTAGCTTCTTTAACTACCTCTATACCAAGGAAGTTTTAAGTGTAAAGTGTACCACTTATTGTTATCGAAATAATCAAATATCTAAAACTAGACTTGACATCAAATCTGTATTTGGAAGTATTCTCTTCAAACGAGATGATTAATTCGTTCAAACGAGATAATTAATTCGTCCAAACGAAATAATTAATTCGTCCAAACGAAATAATTAATTCGTCCAAACGAAATAATTAATTCGTTCAAACGAGATACTAACTCGTTCAAACGAGATACTAACTCGTTTCAACGAGATACTAACTCGTTTGAACGAGATAATTAATTCGTTCAAACGTGATATCAATTCGTTCAAACGAGATGATATATTCGTTCAAACTAGATAATTAATTCGTTCAAACGAGATGCCAATTCGTTTAAACGAGATAACAATTCGTTCAAACGAGATACTAATTCGTTCAAACGAGATACTAATTCGTTCAAACGAGATACTAATTCGTTCAAACGAGATACTAATTCGTTCAAAAGAGATACTAATTCGTTCAAACGGATTAATATTCCTTTTTTTTTTTGTTTGGCACTAATGGGCCACCGTACTTTGTCACTGCAAATATCCCTTTAAAACGTATACCCGCGTGTTATCATGTAAACGAAAATTTAAATTTCATCACTTTCTTGCCCGATCATGGTTAATGGTTATACCTACAGATAAAACGGTAAAAGTTGGGGACAGCTATTATCTCTCTATGTAGTACAATAGTCGAGCCTTAGATTTTCGATTTGCCTTCCTGTTTTCATGTAGTATGACATTTCCGCGTCCTACGTACATGTCCGCCATTTTATTCTCAAACGTGGTAGTGCAGACCATTCATATCTTTCGACGAGCGATGCGAATAATCATTAAACTGACAACGATTACCGAAACCAGTACCGGGGCCCTTCACATTTAGCCCCCCCCCCCCCCATTCTGGTTCATACTAATATTTTATCCCGGACGGAGCCAACCAGTACCTGGGCTGAGAGGGCGAGGATTGGGGCCCTGGGCAGTAAGGGAATGGTAGATACCAGCAGATGTTCGGGGCCCAGAAAATCGCTACCTAAATTGTCTCAGATGCACTGAAATTAATCCTAATTTTAAAATAAAATTCCCGGAGGAAAACACCCCAGGCACTCAAGGGGGTGGAGTACATACTAGTACGATCCGCGGTCAGTACGAACAATTTGAACAAACAACAATGGGGCCCCCGCACAGTTGGTATGTCGCGGGTTCCCTACAGGGGTAATCCGGCACTGACCGGAAAATTATATCGACATGTAAACGTTTCATTTACATCACCATACAATTCTGTCATATTTCGTTTAGTAATAAAACACTTCACCGTTTTATAAACAGTTTTTTCTTTAATGTGTCCCCCCCCCCCATTTCAAACGGTGAAAACTCGTTTTAGTTAAACATACATTATTGAAGAGCTAAATCTGTCTATTGCAGGTCTTTCTTTAGGCCTGAAATGTTATCTAAATTATTAATTAGACATTAATTAACCTATCCAGACCATAATCAACTCACGATGGCATCGCTAGCCTGCCATATTTAGTGGATTATGAGCCGATTTACTGCATAACTTTCCTTCACGATTTTATGATTAAATGGATAATCGAGACTATGCTGTTTATCGTACTGACTTTAGTAATGATGATCGAGACCAGGCGGAAATTTCAATCGCTTAGTTCTCGGTTCATAGTGGATCAATTTGAATGAAATTTTCAGCAAATTGCCTTTTCATTTTCTAGTTTTTAACTATTACAGTGAGAACTGCCAACTCGTTATCGAATCTCCCATAATATCTTTAACCTTAACTATTATAGTGAGAACTGTCAGCTCTTTATCTAATCTCCCATAATGTATGTTTAATGAATGATTCAATCTAAATGTTCGGGGGTTTAACTGATACTTTTATACTGTATTTTGTATCATTGAAAATGTATTCTGCATTTTAACACTGAGACATTGGTATTGTGGAGCAATTAGAAATTGCAAATTATAAAACTGAAAAAAAAGTATTTTGAACCACCGTTTGTGTATGCATTTGTGACGGTGAACATTTAAATAATAATGGCAACGTTATTCTTCCATACTAATATGGCAATCTTTGTCAATCAGTCTCTAACCGACAGTCGGTGTCTTAAACGTCTCCGTGTATCAAACCCTTTCAAGATATGAGCCACGTTTGCGTCAAGGGTGCGTTATCACCTACCTGACATTTGTAACAAAGTACTCTATAACTTTCATCAAATTGAACGGTCATTTAGGTGCTTAGAACTTTATGACCTCAGCTGAATTTTGATAATATACGATATTGACTTTTGAAGGCACGGACTGGCGATAATCTAATTAAACATTTAATTAATGCCATATGTCACTTACAAACTACATATTTTTAAAAGTATTTGGAAGGTATTAAATAATGTCGGTTATTTAACACTATTATAGTGATAACAGCTATCAGTTTCGTAAATATGTGATTTATTTACATCAGGAACAGAATATCAAACAGTTACATAAATACAACAGGAACATAAATACAACAGGAACATAAATACAACAGCTACATAAATACAGCAGGAACATAAATACAACAGCTACATAAATACAACAGCTACATAAATATAACAGGAACATAAACAATAACAGGAACATAAATACAACAGGAACATAAATACAACAGGAACATAAATACAACAGGAACAATAACATCAATAAAGTACATGAATAGTTTAAGATAATCATTCCAGCCATTTGACACGGCAGCGACAGAACTCGGGTGAGTCCATACGCCGGTCTCCGCTCGTCTGTCCCCTGGTCTCAGTGTCAGTAAACTCACGGTTATATACCTTTCAACATAAATAGTTTAAGATAGCCACGGCAGCGGCTGAACTCTGGTGAGATCATACGTCGGTCTCCACTCGACACAAACTAGGTCATTTCGGGACTAACATATGGTTTTAATTTTATTTCAACAATTTGCTTGTGCGTATTAACATTGTCATATCAACATTGTCCATACATGTGGAATTGATAAATTATTTAATTACTTGCTTATAGATAAATAACAATATCTTATAGTATCAAAACCAGCTGGGGGCCAATAAGTTCAGGCACTGTCACACATGTTTTGCGAAATGGGGGGGGGGGCCAATGGTTAGCGCATGCGCGTTGTATCATAAGGTCTGCCATTGATTCAATTGATGTGGTTTCGATTCCCCGGATGTACGTGACAAGGGGTTGGGTTGCCTGTCATACCACGTGGGTTTTCTCCGGGTCCTCCGGTTTCCTCCCACTGCTAAAGACCCCTACGTGCAAGCGAATTATTGAAATAAAATTAAACCATATGTTAGTCCCGAAATGACCTAGTTTGTGTCAAGTGCAGGGGCGTAAATGTGGGGGGGGGGGCAGGAAGAAAAATAGTCGGTCGCAAAATCAGTGCAGTCGGTCGCAAAATAAGAGCAGTCGGTATCAAAATAAGTGCTAACTGCATACGTCACGCTACTCACGAAAAACTTTAGAATAAAATAACCTTGTCAACTTATCATGTTTGAAAAAATGTTGTGTTTTACTCTTATTCTGTTGTGAGTATGTTGGTCTATTAACAAAATTTCTCCCAGGGAGAAAAATAGTCGGTCTCAAAATAAGTACAGTCAGTGCAGTCGGTCATTATGCATCGGCGACTTAATGAATTAATGCGGTAAACAAACAATGCCAGAATAGATCCCAAATACTAAGTATTTGCGTGAATCCGTGAGCCTAAATTGCATACGTCACACAAAACTATAGTATAAAATAACCATGTCTGCTAGTCATGTTTGAAAAAATGTTTGTCACTCTTATTCTGTTGTGAGTATGTTCTTCTATGAAATGTTTTCCCCATGGCAAAAAAATAGTCGGTCTCAAAACAGGTACTCACCGCAGTCGGTCTCAGTCTAAATGAATTAATGAGGTAAACAAACAATCACAAAACAGGCCAAATTGACAGATAGGCCACAAGATTCTGTCCCATTTCTTAGCCTCTCGTTAACGAGAATTTGGTTCTATTTGCCATGACATTGACTAACATTTTCAGGCCCAGTTCCGAAAAATTAAAAGCTCGATCGATCGGTTACATATCTGAAATTTTTTCGCGCCTGCGGCGCTCGATTCCGTTATAACATCATTCTTCTATTACTTTGGTTC